CAATGGATTCGATCGAGGACGAATACAATTGCTTCTATCATTTGATGTTGATTGATGGCTTCGGAATTGTCGTGTCAACCGCGCAATGAAGCATTCTAGAATTTCTAGTCAAACGAGTCCCAAAAGATCCTACCGGTATGATTGGCTCGCTAACGCAAACGGTTATTGCAGTGCAAAAACTAAGTTAATGGGCGATTCCCGTTAATCTAGATGGTCTACTTTTTGACAGACAGACAGACCAAAAATAGACAATCTAGTCCGAATTTTTAGACTTTCTGTCAACGCACGATCMACCCTTGACAGAAAGTCTAAATCTAGACCAGAATCCAAGAATGAAAATCCGTTGTAGGACTCAACTGAAAAGACCCGCCTGCGTGCGCTCTTTTGAATGCAGTCTTAGTAGTCATTTCTGTTGAGATTCCAAATTCCTTCAAGACCAGAAAGAGCACCTAAAAAATGTCCGTTGGGCCCCTGTTTTTAATGATTCCCGTTAAACTAAAAAGTCAAAGAGGTCTACTTTAGATTTTTAGACCATCTAGATTAACGGGAATTGCCCAATGCCAGGGCCCTCCGTTTCCTGTACACCCTGCGAAACGAGAAGGAGAAACAAAGAGAATGTAGCCAATTCCAAATTGCTCTTCCTCCTTCTGGTGAGAATAAATTAGTAGTAGTAGTACAAGCAGAGCTTGATTAGTAGTAGTACAGCTAAGTCATGGTTTAGCAGCAGATGCTGATGATAGTTGACAATTGAAAATTTTACTCACCAGTTTCAGCCAGGTTCTTCACACAATAAATATTTTTCAACAAGGGATCACTACTAGGTTTCATTTGAGGGTCCTCTCATCAAAGCATTGTACTGGGGAACTGGCACTACTATGAAATAGTAGAGATTGTTGCGACATCGTCCAAACAAGTAAGTTGCTTTTAACATACTACATGTATTGAATATTTCAAAGAAAAGGAAAGTCACTGGAAAGAAAACACAAGAATGATATCATTCTTGTCTTTCACAAGAAAAGTAAGGGTATCC